CCCCAAAACCCCAAAACCCCAAAACCCCAAAACCCCAAAACCCCAAAACCCCTGCTACCTATTAATATTTTGAAATTACTTTATATTTTCATATTGTTATTTTTCATATTTTTCATTACATTAATCCAAATCCTTCTGCGTTATGAATTGCTATAAGTAATTTCTGTTTCAACACCTCTGCTGATGTATAAGCAGGGAGCAACAAGTGGTTAAATCAAGTGTGTGCTGATGGCAAATGATCGTTATTATCTCCGTGTCTGATGATGACTAATCTGAGCTCTCCAAGCCCATTTATTGGAGCTTTATCTCACCCTGTTGTGAAAAACAGAAACTTTTTCTTTTCTTCCTCAGTGAATTGCTCGAGCACCTCCCAGAAATACTTAATAGTATCAGAATTTTCATCGTAGCCGTCATGGTATTGTGTAGCTTGCTTTAATTGAGAAAAATCTAGAACCTTCGATCCACAGATAATCATTTCGAGATCTTCTGGCTCGATGCGGTCGAGCATTTCTCCACCACATCACTTATCAAAGCCATGTTTGAAGCTTTTGAAGTATTTCTCAACAGATTGGTTCATCAAAAAGTCAATGTATCTGTCAATATAGTCTTCTTTATTTTCTAAAGTAACATTAATTTCTGAGCCATTCTCGATAAGGTCTTCAGTAAGCTTCTCGCCAAAAGACTCGTAGTTCACTGTGAAGTTGAGGCACATGGCTTCCTCGAAGTCCTCCTTGTCGTAGTTGAGGATAGATCTGAGAGATTTCCCGACTTGTGGGTCATATTGCTCGAAATCATCTAGGTTCACCCTCCTTCCTAACAATTTCTTATAGAACGCTAATGGCAAATGGATGTCCAAAATATGGTTGTTGTAAATAGCCAAGCCAAGGATGATACCCATAAGCTCGAACTTCAGAGGAAGCTCGAAGGAGTTCCTACTGATCCAGAATAGCTGTGACTCTGTGTTGTATTCAAACATGCCGTATCCAACGTCAAATAGTTGTTTAACGAGTAACTGGAAGAATTCTTTTTGAACTCCTCCTTCGTCGACGCCTGGCTCTCCTGCAAACTTCACTTTTAATGGCTTTTTAAGGACTGTACCTGAACTGACCAATGAATTGAGAGAATCTTCTATTAAGCTATCTCTCCTAACCTCTATTGTAAGGTATGGGTTTAGGCCACCCAATAAGATTGAGGTCAGATCCAATGAATTATGGAGCTCCTTCTTTTTCGAAATCTGGCCTTCGTAATTAATCAGTCTAGCTTTATTAGCTGCATCAAGGGACCAAGGGAATTCGATATACAGTACTTTATGGAAAGTCCTCTTGTCAATGCCTTGGACTTCCAAATCAAAGTCTATATCGCCGTCATTGTGGAATCTTCCTCTCATGCAGTTATGCCAGTCAATGTAGAAATCTTTGAGTCTGTCTTTCCATTCTGAGTTAATAACGTCAATATGAAACTCTTTCAAGCTGATGGTATCGAGCCTGACCTTCCGTGAAGCATAGTAGAAGAAATCCATGATCAAGAACAAGTTCCTGACCTTCTCCTGTTCCTCAGTGTCATCATCATCTGGTTCCATCATGAGAGTGAAAGTTAAATGCTGCTGATTGACTTTGAAGCAGAAAAGGAATCTCTCCTTGTGAAGGTTCTTTAGCAGCTCCATTGCATTTTCTCGGCGCCAGAAGGGTTTCGACTCAAAGTTGTAAAACATATCTGCGATCTTTGTGATAATTTCACCATATTGAGGCTCATACAGCACCTCTTGACTGAGCAAAACTGCTAAAATTCTGACTAATTGATTGGAATATCTTTTGCCAAGTTTTGATTGACTATCAAATTTGGAAAATTGGTCGGTAATATTGCTGATGGATTCTTCCATAATCTTTTCGTATACACCTGTTTCTTCCTCAGAGATCTTAAGAATTCTTTCGTAAAGTTTGTCGAGTCTGTTGAAGTCGATATCCATAGTCTGCTCCTCAAGCCTGAACCGATTCTGAGCATGCTGCATAGGGTAAAACGAAGAAGCAAGTGAATCAAAATTACAAAATACTCTTGAAACTTCAGATAAGAAGCTGGCATCGTCTGCTTGAAGCAATTCATCAAGTCTGTCACCCCACAAGGGCAAGGGTGGACATTCCTCAGGAATATACTCCCCACTAGATAGGTGTTTAGCCAGCTTTACAGCTGTTTTGAATGCAATTTGTTTATTGCCAGGCTCACTCTCAGGATTTTCTCTTAACACTGTGGCCTTACAGAAGATATTAACACATTCTGGTTGGTCTCAGGTATCAGCCATATATCAGTTGAATACCTTCGTTACCAGCTCTTTCATGACTTTCTTCTTGTCTACCATTTCAGTCGAATTCGGAGCTTTCTCAGCTTCAGTACTTTCTTGCATTTTTAAAATGACGAATTTACAGAAATTAAATTATAAAATTCAATTCGACTATATTGTCTAGGGGTTTTGGGGTTTTGGGGTTTTGGGGTTTTGGGG